TTGTGCCCAGAGGGTTAGGAGGTGGGTTTGAGGGGGGGAGGGGGGGAGGGATCTTCACCGGATCCTCCATGTGCAAATCAGAAACCTGTTTTGCTTTTTTCCTTAACATATTTTTTTCTCGCCTTCTGGGACTTTCTTTCTCATGAATACTTAGTCCTCCCGGTGGACAGACTATCAAAAAACGATCACGGAGATTCTGTGATGTCTCGTTTGGCACTACCCCCCCCCCCCCCTCTCTGCTCGCTCTCTGGGGAGAAGAGACACAGAGGGATACGTAGGGTCAGAGGCGCGCGCGTACACACACACATACACACACACACACACACACACACACACACACACACACACACACACACACACACACACACACACACACACACACACACACACTCACTCACTCATCTAACTCACACACAGACACACGCGCAAACGTACATAAACATACACGGAGGTCAAACATGCAGACAGAAAATTGTTATGAGTGTGATGGATTGGTGGCTGGCGTGAGGACAGTGTTGACGATAGGGGTAGAGGTGTGGGCATGGGTAGGGGCATGGGTAGCGGTTGGGGTAGAGGCAGGGGAGAAGGAGGGGTAGGGTAGGGGAATGGGTAGCGGTTGGGGTAGAGGCAGGGCATGGGTAGGGACATGGGTAGGGGTAGAAGCATGGGCATGGGTAGGGGTAGGGGTATGGGCATGGGTAGCGGTAGGGGTAGAGGCAGGACATGGCAGGGATAGGGGCATTCGGTAGCGGCATGGGTAGAGGCAGGGCTGGGGTAGGGGCAGAGGTAGGGGTAGGGGCATGGGAGGGGGTAGGGGAGAGGAGAGGTGATTGGTCAGGAGATGACTTGTTGATGCTAACTTATACAAGGATACGTTTTTGTTTACGTTATCATTACGGGCGAATTTTATGTAGGTGCAATATGTTTATGTACGTGCGTGTGTATATTTTTTTGTCGATCATGTGTGTCTGTGTGTGTTTGTTCTTTTATGTATGTGTGTTTGTATGCATGTATATTAATCGAAAAAAAATATAAAGAAAAAAAAAATATGGATGAACGATCCCGGAAATGAATCTGTGAAATGGTTCGAAACATATAAATCCTTTGTTACCGCACACAACCCCCAAAAATATATTAAACATTAACCAAAGAACTACAGCAACAACAACAACAACAACAACAAAAACTCTCGTCAGGCGTACTATATGGAAACACTCTACCTAGCAAACAAACTATAGATTTTAGAAAAACAAACACAATAAGAGCAACTTAGGCGCATACCATCTCCTCCTGAGTCAACTGTAAACAAAGTGAGATCGGTTACAATTACAACACCGACAAGGAAAATTATAACCAGGGGAGAGAAAGCAGCCAAAGAAAGGAATTTGGAAAACACGAGCAAGGGGTATTTCTTTTGATTGTTGGCATTGTTTAGGTTGTGCAAGTCCACCGTCAGAGGGAAAAGCGGGACGTGTGGTTAAACATCTTTTAACTGTATTTGGAGTTTTTGAAGCTTTGGGGTGAAGGAGAACCATTCAAGTGTGGTTGACCGTGTGGAAACTTTGGGGGAAGTTTTGAGTATCTTTTCGGTTTTGATTTTTTAGCGTGGATGATATATTAGTTTATTTGATATATTTGTCCGTATCTTATGACGGGTTGTTGTAGCGTGTATGAAATATACTTTGATTTTTTTTTCTTATATTATTCCCATCTCTAATGGGCACACGTGCGCAATGAGACACGCACGCGCACACAAATCTTAGGTTTCCTTATATGTTTTTACACTTTAATGGAATAATTGGGACCATATTATGATGACCTCAAATTTAGCAAGTATTGACAAAAAAATTGTGAATTCTTGGTTCTCGAATACATAATAAACAGTCCCAGGTACCCAATCACTGTAACGCATATTCTCACGCACTCGCAAACAGAGGCCAACACACACGCACTCGAAAATCCGAAACCCGACAGGGAAGAGAAGCCCCGAGGCCGTGCACGCGCGTGCGAAGCCGGCGGGGGAGGCGAGGGCCAGGCAAAGGCTTTCCTACAACCGCTGTTCACCTGAGTGTTAGCTTGCAGTGTTTGTTTACCTGTGACGTCATGGAGAAAGGCGACGCTCCGCTGCCTACGTGCCTTCATGCGGATGCCCCTCCCCCCCCCTCATCCTATTTCCCTTTCTTCTCCTCCCCTCCCCATCCCTCTTCTGTTCCCTCTGTTATCCGTATGTCTTTCCCCCCTCCCTCTTCTCTTCCCCCTCTTTTTCTTTCGTCCCTTCCCCTTCCCCCTCCCTCTCGTCTTCTCCTTATAACCTGATCTCTCACTCCTCCTTCCCTCCCTCCCTTCCTCCTCCTCCTCCTCCTCCTCCTCACCCCTCCCTACCCTTCCTCCTCACCACTTCCTCCTCCTCCTCCTCCTCACCCCTTCCTCCTCCTCCTCCTCACCCCTTCCTCCTCCTCCTCCTCACCCCTACCCTTCCTCCTCCTCCTCCTCCTCCTTT